GATAATAACACATTTTTTCTCCGCGGAGGCAATTAGACATGACAGCTGTAACGAGCCGATGCGTAGCGACTGCCTCCAAAGTGCTGGTGATTCTGATGATGGGAAGCAATCAGAGAGATAATAGAGAGAGAGAGAGAGAGAGATAATAGAGAGAGAGAGCGAGAGAGAGAGAGAGAGAGAGAGGGGGGGGGAGAAAGGGAGGGACGTGAGTTACGTAGAAGAAGAGAGAGAAAGAGGAAAGGGAGAGAAAGAGAGAGAGAGAGAAAATAAAAAATTGGAATAAGGGAGAACAAGTCTATCCATATAATACAGCAAAAAAAAGTAAAATTAGAGTAAAAAAATGAAAAAATATAAATAAAATAGATAAATCGGAGAGTCTATAAACACTATTCAACAGAAGCCGCGTTTCAACTCGAAAATTCCCGCCACAGGACAAGCAAGTGCCCAAAAAGTGACATTAAAGCGACATACAGAAGGAAAAGACATGACGAGAGCAAATGCGAACGCGCAATATGCAATCAGTCTGCAACGTGCAACTTCCGGTCAGATCCTTTATTATGCAAAACCGTGAAACATTTTGCCAAAGCCCGGTGACCCTGAGTTAAGTGGGGGGTAGGGTGAGGGGGTGGGGGTAAGGGTAGGTGATGGGGGGTGAGGGGGTGGGGGTTAGGGGTCTAGGAGAGGGGGAGGGGTAGGGGGCAGGTGTAATGGAAAGGGGTTGGGAGGGGAGAGGGTGATGGGGTCAGAGTAATGGGGGGGGAGAGGGGAGGGGGGGTTAAAAACAGGTAGGAGGTAGATTATAAATATAGGAAGAGGGGGGGGGGGGATAGAGAGAGAGAGAAAAGGGAGTCACCGCCGATAAACGAGGGTTATATAAGCTGACAAACAAAAAAAAATAAAAAAAATAAAAAAAATAGAACGTCATTTATCATGCAACACACCCATTGCTACGACCCCCCATCACGCTCGCTGGCCATCGTGCATGACCACTGCATGACCAACCCCCCACCCCACCCTCTGTATGTATGTATGTGGGGGGGGAGGGGGACCTACTTTACTCGCTTTCGCTTTTCGCCGTCAGCCAAATATTCATGCAATATGCAAATGAGTAGGCAGTCTCTCATTACAGGATAGCAAGAGAGAGAGTAAAAAAAAAAAAAAATAGAACGTCATTTATCATGCAACACACCCATTGCTACGACCCCCCATCACGCTCGCTGGCCATCGTGCATGACCACTGCATGACCACCCGCCACCCCCCCACCCCACCCTCTGTATGTATGTATGTGGGGGGGAGGGGGACCTACTTTACTAGCTTTCGCTTTTCGCCGTCAGCCAAATATTCATGCAATATGCAAATGAGTAGGCAGTCTCTCATTACAGAATAGCAAGAGAGAGAGTAAAAAAAAAAAAAAAGAGAAAAACGGAACTATTGCGGAGAGAGAAAAGCGCACTTGTTTGGTCGTCTCGCCTCGCCACTTCCTCTCTCGGCGAGACGCGGAAGTGAGTAGCGGAGGTCCCGATGCTACTCACAGATGGCGCCGTCACGCTGCTGCTCTCTCTCTCTCTCTCTCTCTCTCTCTCTCTCTCTCTCTCTCTCTCTCTCTCTCTCTCTCTCTCTCTCTCTCTCTCTCTCTCTCTCTCTCTCTCTCTCTCTCTCTCTCTCTCTCTCTCTCTCTCTCTCTCTCTCTCTCTCTCTCTCTCTCTCTCTCTCTCTCTCTCTCTCTCTCTCTCTCTCTCTCTCTCTCTCTCTCTCTCTCTCTCTCTCTCTCTCTCTCTCTCTCTCTCTCTCTCTCTCTCTCTCTCTCTCTCTCTCTCTCTCTCTCTCTCTCTCTCTCTCTCTCTCTCTCTCTCTCTCTCTCTCTCTCTCTCTCTCTCTCTCTCTCTCTCTCTCTCTCTCTCTCTCTCTCTCTCTCTCTCTCTCTCTCTCTCTCTCTCTCTCTCTCTCTCTCTCTCTCTCTCTCTCTCTCTCTCTCTCTCTCTCTCTCTCTCTCTCTCTCTCTCTCTCTCTCTCTCTCTCTCTCTCTCTCTCTCTCTCTCTCTCTCTCTCTCTCTCTCTCTCTCTCTCTCTCTCTCTCTCTCTCTCTCTCTCTCTCTCTCTCTCTCTCTCTCTCTCTCTCTCTCTCTCTCTCTCTCTCTCTCTCTCTCTCTCTCTCTCTCTCTCTCTCTCTCTCTCTCTCTCTCTCTCTCTCTCTCTCTCTCTCTCTCTCTCTCTCTCTCTCTCTCTCTCTCTCTCTCTCTCTCTCTCTCTCTCTCTCTCTCTCTCTCTCTCTCTCTCTCTCTCTCTCTCTCTCTCTCTCTCTCTCTCTCTCTCTCTCTCTCTCTCTCTCTCTCTCTCTCTCTCTCTCTCTCTCTCTCTCTCTCTCTCTCTCTCTCTCTCTCTCTCTCTCTCTCTCTCTCTCTCTCTCTCTCTCTCTCTCTCTCTCTCTCTCTCTCTCTCTCTCTCTCTCTCTCTCTCTCTCTCTCTCTCTCTCTCTCTCTCTCTCTCTCTCTCTCTCTCTCTCTCTCTCTCTCTCTCTCTCTCTCTCTCTCTCTCTCTCTCTCTCTCTCTCTCTCTCTCTCTCTCTCTCTCTCTCTCTCTCTCTCTCTCTCTCTCTCTCTCTCTCTCTCTCTCTCTCTCTCTCTCTCTCTCTCTCTCTCTCTCTCTCTCTCTCTCTCTCTCTCTCTCTCTCTCTCTCTCTCTCTCTCTCTCTCTCTCTCTCTCTCTCCTCCTTCCTCTCCCTCCTCCCCTTCCCCCTCCCCCCCCATGATATCCCGTTATCGGAAGTCATACCCCAACAAGTCGGTTTTTTTGCTCTCGCTTGCTACAACCAGGAAAGAAGGGAATAGATAAAAAAAAAGGAGGAATAAAGAGAGAAAAGATAGGAAACCATCGAGGAGATAGAGACACGAAGGGAAAAGGGGAGGAGAAAAGGAGGGAACTTTTTTTTTTCTTAGGTGTACCGAGGCGGAAAAAAAGCCAAAAAAAAAGAGAAAAACGGAACTATTGCGGAGAGAGAAAAGCGCACTTGCTTGGTCGTCTCGCCTCGCCACTTCCTCTCTCGGCGAGACGCGGAAGTGAGTAGCGGAGGTCCCGATGCTACTCACAGATGGCGCCGTCACGCTGCTGCTCTCTCTCTCTCTCTCTCTCTCTCTCTCTCTCTCTCTCTCTCTCTCTCTCTCTCTCTCTCTCTCTCTCTCTCTCTATCTATCTATCTATCTATCTATCTATCTATCTCTCTATCTCTCTATCTCTCTTCTCTCTATCTCTCTCTCTCTCTCTCTCTCTCTCTCTCTCTCTCTCTCTCTCTCTCTCTCTCTCTCTCTCTCTCTCTCTCTCTCTCTCTCTCTCTCTCTCTCTCTCTCTCTCTCTCTCTCTCTCCTTTCCGCCTTCCTTCCTCTCTCTCCCGTTTTACTCTCCCCCACTTCTCCCTTCTCCCTCCTTCCCTCGTCGTCCGTGTCCGTAGCCTGTGAAACCCGCCCGCCCATGTCGAACGAACGAGACAATTTCGTGACATTTTCCTCCTCCTCGACAGGTCATTTTCCTCATCCTTGACAAGACATTTTCCTCGCCCTAGACAAGTCATTTTCCTCCCCCTCGACAAGACATTTTCCTCCGGGTCTCGACGTGTCCGGAAGCCGTTGGGTGTCGCGTCTTGTCAATTTGCGGCGCCATTTTTAAAGAGCGCAACGGTTTCACTTACGTCACAATGTCGTGGATTTGGCTCGTTCAATCTGACATTTCTCGAGGCTGGAAACAATGCCCCTTTTGCATAACGAAGGAGAGAAAAAGAGGAAAGAAATATGTGTTTTTTTCTTTGGGATTCGGTACAACTGGTACAGTATGCTGTGCGTGTTATTATGGATAGAGTTACGTGATGTGTGTGTGTGTGTGTGTGTGTGTGTGTGTGTGTGTGTGTGTGTGTGTGTGTGTGTGTGTGTGTGTGTGTGTGTGTGTGCGGTGCTAAGAATGCGCCATTTCTTTTCTCTCTCTCTCTCTCTCTCTCTCTCTCTCTCTCTCTCTCTCTCTCTCTCTCTCTCTCTCTCTCTCTCTCTCTCTCTCTCTCTCTCTCTCTCTCTCTCTCTCTCTCTCTCTCTCTCTCTCTCTCTCTCTCTCTCTCTCTCTCTCTCTCTCTCTCGTCCAACAATGACATTATTACATTCCTAATCCCGCCCCGACACCGCGCAGTACAATGAAGTAATCTCACCTAAGGTCACAGGAAAGGTGTTAGGTCAATCCCTTGGGGAAAGCGCGAAACAAAGGGCAAAGGGGGGGGGGGAGGGGACAGGAGAAGAAGGAGGGGGGGGGGGAGGGAAAAGCTGAAAATTATTCTCGATATTATTTCAAAGGTATCAGTATGTTGGCATTATGTTAACAATTGAATAAAATGCTTTCCATAGAAATAACATAATCTGATTTTTAAAATTAAATATTTGATAACAGTCAGGATTGTTTGATAACTGTTCCATGACCTTAAGTTATACAACAAAATTTCAGAACGTAGCATTTCTTTTTTCTTGGTCCACGTGTTTCTAATCGGTTTATAAAGGGCCTCCGTGACCTGTGAATATGACGAGGGACAAATCTTAGGTCAGGTCAAGTTGGGTCAATCTGCATAAACCCGAGGCAGGTGAAGTTCAGGTGCTAATCGTCCCGTAATATTGCTGATTATAGTTTTCTTTGCATCTTTTTTTTTTAAACAAATAGGATAATTATTTGTTGTTGCATCGAAATTCCAGGAAACGAAATATATGCTGTGTTTACTTTGCGTAGCCTGTCTTTGGATTCTTGAGGCTTGTCCGACCTGATGTGGCTCCACGGGAATCACTTACATTTGATAATTTATATTTCTTCAGGATATTATATATATATATATATATATATATATATATATATATATATATATATATATATATATATATATATATATATATATATATATATATAATTAATGATATCTTCTCGAAACAAGAAAAAAGTATCCAGCAATATTCTTACGCCCTTCCCTTGTTCCTTGCAGATGACGAGACCTGCTACTGGCGCGAGGACGCGCGCGCCGCCAGCCCGGGCCGCTTGGACTCGGCCGCGGAGGCGCCCCGCCGCACGCTGCCGCCCATCAGCCGCATCCTCCCCAGGCCACTCGTGGGGCGCTCCCGCTCGCCCTCCATGCCCGTCGCCGACATGCTGTGCCCCCCGCAGGAGACGCCCCTGGACTGCCACGTCCCCCGCCGCTCCGTGTCCCCACGCCTCCCCCCCTTCTCCGACGTCCGGCGCCACCAGCGCGCGCCGTCCCCCATGGAGTACGACCACCGGCCGTCGCGCTACCACGACGACCACGCGCTCCCATACGACCTCACGACTCGCAGGTCGCGGTCGCCCAGAACGATCTCTCCGCAGTCCCTCCCACCGGTGCTGGCCTCCATGCGGCTGCGCGAGTGCACAAATGCCGAGGACGGCGGCGGCCAGGGCAGCGGAGGCGGCCCGCCCCCCAGCCAGCACGGCAGCAGCTCCGGCGGCGGATACATGGACACGTCGCAGACGTCGCTCACCTTCTTCGGGTCTCTGGGCCTGGGTGGCGACAAGGACGGCCTCGGCGGCGCTGACGGAGGCGGCGGCGGCGGCCAAATGCCCTCCGGCATCTCCAGCATAGAGAGCGCCTCCCAGCCGCCGCCTCTGCCGTCGCCCGTGGAGCCGCACGTGTACTCCCTGCCCGAGCACTGCCGCAGCATCCCCCTCACCGCCAACGACACCTCCCCCTCCTTCCCGGCGCCCTCGCACTTCAGGGAGAAGCACCTGCAGCACCTCCAGCACCAGCAGCAGCAACACCAGCTACAGCAACACCAGCATCAGCAGCACCAACAGTCACTGCAGCTTCAGTTCCAGCAGCAGCAGATGCAGACCCAGACGCAGACGCAGCCGCAGTACACGGTGCCAGTGCCCTCCCCGTCGCCGCTGCCCGTGTCCCCGCCCCTCAGCAGCGCCACGTCGCCCCTCACCGTGGCCACGACGACCCTCCGCTCCCCTCCCGAGGCGCAGACGTACGAGCCGCTCACCACACAAACGCAGGTAAGGCCGCCTACGTGGTGCCTCCTCTTCGCCGAAGATGGAGATCGGAAGGAAGCAATAGAGCTTACTCCTGTGACATTATCTCACATATCTGACTCTTCTGCCTCACTTTTCTGTTCGTTCCTCCTGACACTTTCCTCCCTTCCCCCCCAGGTCCCACTCGTGTCGTCGACGGACCTCCAGAGCGGCTGGAACGAGCGCTCGCCGACGTCGCCGCAGTACCAGACCAACTACGCGAGCCGCCCCTCCCCCGGCGGCAGTTCCATCATGGACGCCTCCTCCCCGCCGCTGCATGACATACAGGTAAGCCCCGCTTCTTTGCACGCACCGCCCACACCTGTTGTACAGCGGCGTCTGTCATATGTTTCTTTTTTTATATATACTACGCTACCCTCCCCCACCCCGCCCCCAAACCTGCACCGCTTTCTGTTTATTTTATAGAGTCACTTTAGAGAATTTTCTGTTCATCTTGTTTCTTCATGAAAACTAGAAAAAAGGATAGTCACTCACGAACTTAGTCACCGTTCACTTAGAAGAGTCACTTGGATTTCCACCATTGAGGTTTTGCCCCTCCTCCCTTCCCCCAGCATGAAGTGCCGCTTCAGGTTCGAGTGTCCATATTGCAGCAACGCCTGGGACTTCCGGAGGACACGCCCCTCGAGTTCGTCAACGGAGGCCACGGCATCAAGAACCCGCTGGCGCCCTCGACCGACACCACGAGGCAGGATGTCAACGAGAAGCTGCCACCGCCAGGTACGACGGCGCCCCAGAATCTGAGACAAACATTCTGAAGTTTTTTCATGAATCTTAGTCGTGCGCTTCGAATTATCACAGCACAACCATTTTTTTTCCTATTTTTATTCATTGTCTTCCTCTCCCTTCCAGTTATTGAAGACGACAGCAGCAAGTTCGTGTGCCGCGTGTGCTCGAAGACCTTCAGCCTGCAGAGGCTCCTGAACCGCCACATGAAGTGCCACTCGGACGTCAAGCGCTACCTGTGCACCTTCTGCGGCAAAGGCTTCAACGACACCTTCGATCTCAAACGCCACACCAGAACTCACACTGGTAAGTCGCTCAGAACGAGTCACATGAAGCATGCAAAGATTTTGAGAAGGAAATTGATAATAAACTTTTCCCCCCAAAGAAAAAAACGACTAACGCGGCTATGCTTTCCTCCCGCTGCAGGTGTGCGGCCCTACAAGTGCAACCTGTGCGAGAAGTCGTTCACACAGCGCTGCTCCCTGGAGTCCCACTGCCTCAAGGTCCACGGCGTGCAGCACAGCTACGCCTACAAGGAGCGTCGTTCCAAGGTCTACGTATGCGAGGAGTGCGGCCACACCACCGGGGAGCCCGAGTGCCACTACCTCCACCTCAAGGACAACCACCCCTACAGCCCCGCCCTCCTCAAGTTCTACGACAAGAGGCACTTCAAGTTCAACAACTCCAACTTCACGAACGTGCTCCTCATGAGTCAAACATAGGCGCTAACTTAGGTCGAGAGAGAATGTGTGATGTTGATAGGCAACGTTATGTTAGATGCTTGTAAAGTCAGCTGTCCTCCCGGGGCCTCGGGATGCAAGGGGCCGTGGCTCTTCTCCAGCCTGAGAGGCGAGCCGAGAACCACGGCGCCGCGAGCCACGCAGGACGCACGAGCCAAGGACACCACTGCCTTCTGGCGCGCCTCTGACGACCGTCGGCCTGCAGAGCGAGCCGCGGTCGGTGCTGGGTATCTGCCGAGAACTGGATCCTCGGGCGCAGACTAATCACATGATGCTTGAACCCTGAGTTCTTCCTCATATCCAGCAGATTTTTTTCGAGAGACTTTAAAACAAATATACCTCGCTGGCTACTGCGTGGTGCGTATTTTTGTATTCTGCTTGACAAAAACATTTAAGGCATTATTAAATAATCATATGTAGATATATTTGATCATGGAAAGTTCATAACTTTTCTCTAGATTCACGTGTGTGTCTATAATACAAGTTTATCAGCCTTGGTGTTTACGTGTAGGCTGTATGAAACAGAATATGCGGATAAATATAAGACACGACGTAGTTTTTGGCACTACAAGTGTCTAGGTTTAATGTGGATTCGTTGCAATATAGATTTTAAGATATTGCTGAACCAATGACAGTCAGGCTGCATCGCCTTCTTGCAAGAACGTGCAGTCATGCCAATGTCTATAGACTTCTTATTGCTATACTTCCTCTATGTACTTGAACAAAAGATATATATATATATATCATCCTTTCGCAAACTTTTCGCTATTTTATAATAAATAGGAAAAAAAAACAAGACGAAAAGAAAACGATACTCTCATTTTTAGCATGATACTGATCTCCGGATTACTCCATGGGCATTAGTGGAACATGGTGCTCCTCCAGTAACGAAGCAAATACCTACCAATGATATTTACCTCAACAGTCTCAGAGGCCGTTCCCAGCAAACCGGGATGCGATGGTCAGAGGGTAATTATTATTATAATTATTATTATTATTATTATTCTCCTCTCTCTCTCTCTTTCTCTTATAATCTCTCTCTCTCTCCGTAAACAAAAGATTGTTTTTTAAAAGCGTTTGGTAGTACCGTACAAAACGTTATCTTTTGTGATTCCCCCACGTAAAGACGGTAGGCAATGCCCCCCCTCCCCCTTCCCCTCCTCCATCCTCCCCATCCCCCCTTTTTTTACGATAATGGTTAGGTCTTAGCGATAATTTTTTGCCGTAAAAAAGGAATTTGGAAAAAAAAGAAGAGAGCTGGGTAGCAAATTTATATTTAAAAAAAGGTGCGTCCCTCTTGTCAACACACCATGGCAGGCAGTCGCAATGTTAAGTGATAGTAGTCTGTAGTCATTTCCCTAGGTGATTTTTTTCGATCTTGAAGTGATTCTGCCGGTGAAGTACAATATCTGAAGTGTAAATAAGGTGTACATAGTGATCTTTTAGTGTGGTATTTTTTATATATATATATGGCGCAAAGCTTATCTTCCGCGGAGAATAAAAAAAAAAACATAGAGAATTAAAAAGCTTAGGTGGGCTGTGTTCCCGAGTGACATTTACGGCGCCATATTAACCTGAATGGTATATATTGATCGAAATATAAATAAATAGATAAATAAATAAAAAAAAAACTTCTGGGGTTCGATTTTAGAAATTTATGAATACAAGCGCTGTTACTGATATGATTAAAGATTTCTAAGATTGTATTACTGGATTGTGATAGATACCTTTTTTTTTCCCCTTGATGATAGATGATAGATGTTGATAATTAGTCAAGTGTTTTGTTAGATGCAATCCTTTTGGCATTACCTGTATCTCATCCATATGTGTGTTTTTTTTTTTCTTTTTT